CCGTTATTGGAACAACCTCGTAATCACCAATAAAAAAATTGAAATAAACCTATATTACCTTTTTTACTTTCTAGAATGACTTCAAATTGTAACATGAAACTACATTTGTTTATCTTAAGTAACTCTAAGTTTGTAACAGTATACATCTATTTATGATTAAATTTTATTGTTTTATTGCCCTTTAAACCATGTCTTACTACTATATGTGCCATTATAAGTTGTAAATCACTCAGCGAACATGCATCTCACATTGCACTATTGAATTACATTACCCATGAGCTGCTCCAGTACATGCCTTGTGAACCATTTTAATTATTACTATTATTATTGCTTACTGTACCTAATCTAGTCTTAGATAACTTTTAAAAAACTTAAATAACTTTAGTTACTTTTATAATAATAATTAAAGAATAAATATGAAAAACAAGAAATAAAATACTTACCCAATCTTCTTTTTCTTGCCATCAACTGTCAAGGACAGTTAAGCCTAATTTCTTATAGTAATTATAGTAATGCACTTAATAATTTTTATTTAATTAAATAATGCACCAAAGAATATAGACTAATAACATGCAAAAAGTAGACAAGTTCCCATACCTCTCAAAAGTTTCTGGATTTCTAACTATGCAACAAGAGCCTTACAAATTCATCGAAGATTGTGAAATGGATGATATTCTGTTTACAACACAACGTTATACAATTGATATATGAAAACCTTGACTTTCTATTGGATATAAGTAATACATAATGAAATGTAAGAGAGAACTATCAATGAATTGTGAAAGAGAGCATGTGACAAGTGGGTATGGCAGGAGGGCTCTTATTTTTTATTTGATAGCTCTGTAACCAAACAAAATTGAAGACTATAAAAATTATGGTTTGTCAGGTACATGATGATGACAAAACCTTGTCAAAACGTTGTACATTTGCTGTTATGTTAATCTTATATTAAAGTTTTTCTTCATTACCCATTCAAGCCATCTCCAGGCATTAAGAGAAAATGTGTCACGTGGGTTACACTAGTAGAAATTCAGGACTTTTTATATATTTCCTTGTAGAATTAAAAACTTTAAACTTGTATACTATTAAAATATGGATTATTAGCTAAAATTTTATGCTATTCTAATTGGTATAACATAAATAAAAAGTGGTTTAATAAGATTTTGAATGTAAGACACTAAGAACTTGTTCATGCGCAGTAAAGAGTACTCAGGCCGATAGGGTTAATGATTAATAGCAACTAATATACAAAAATTAAAATATTCTATGTAGTTCAGTTTAGCTAAACTTTTCATGTCAGTTTTTTTGTGGGTAGGAGATTGTATGACACCAATATTGAGGAATGTTACATAACATTTAAGGATAACAAGGCTGTCCCATTTCTAACTATATACATAAAAACTCAAAGCCAGCCCTTATCATTCAAATATTTATTTAACTCCATTAAATTTACTATTTTCACATCAAACAAACCCATTCCAAAGACCATCTGCCTTGTTAGAAAAATAAAACTCTTAGCCTGCCAGAACTTATATTTGTTCCCCTAGTACTATCATTCTCAAAGATTAATTATGAAAATAGATGATACATCAACCTTACCAATTCCCTTAGCAATCTTATATACCTCAATCAGATGACCTCTAACTCTTTTTCTCTCAAGAGAAAAAAAAACGTCTTCACAGATCTTAATCTATCCTCATATGATAGCCTTGTATTATAACCCCTCCATCCCAGCTATCATTCTAGTAGCCCTCCACTAAACCCTTTCCAACAATTCAATGTCTTTTCTGAAGTAAGGATCCCAGGAATCAACACAATACTCCAAATGTGGCTTAACCAGACCTATACAATAACATTATAACCTCTTTACACTTGTATTCACTATTTCTGTAGATACCACTTAAAATCCTATTTGCCCCAACACTAACTTATTGTTTGGATGGCTTAAGAGAGTGATGAACCAGCACATGAAGACCCTTTTCTTCTGTGACACTGTTAAGGTTATTCCCATCAAAATTATACTCATTATTGAAAATGTGATAACCTACATGCATTATCTTGCATTTATTATAATTAAAACCCATCTATTTGTCCAACTCACTAAATGATCTAAATCCTTTTGTAAAGCAGCAGCAGCATCCCCACACCTAGCAACACTCAAGACCTTACTATCATCAGCAAATTTAAGTAATTTATTGATCATTCCTTCATTTATATCATTGATGTACCTCAAAGAGACCAAAGGTCCTAACACTCATGACATTAATTCAGTTTGACTGAACTCAATTTATAACAACCCTCTGCTTTCTTCCATTCAGCCAGTTTTCTATCCAATGAGCTAACTTATCCCCTCACCTATAAAAATCCTTTTTTATCAAGCCTTTTATGCAGAACTCTGTCAAATGCTTTCTTAAAATCTAGATACACCAAATCCATAGCTTTATCTTCATTTACATAAGCAGTAACTTCTTCAAAGAATGTCAAAAGATTAGTAACACAAGATTTTCCCTTAGTGAAACAATGCTGACTATTCCACAAAATTGTAAACTTTTAAAAATTCCCACCACTGATGTAAGATTAATAGGCTTATAATTACCAGGACAATTTGTATCACCTCCATTGCACTTCCAGTCATTTGATACCTGCTCACTATTCAAGGACTTACAAAAACAGTAGCAAGTGGTTCATATATTCAATCTTTAATCTCCTTAAAAACCTTTTTTGAAATATTGTTTGACTCGGCAGGAGGTTTATCATCTTTAACCTTTCCAGTTTATTCTTAAATGAGCTCAGAATTTATGTAATCATCTTCTTGAAACTTGTTTCTATCTAGCAACTGTTCAGGATGAGGACTATTGCTTAAACCTTCATTAGAAAAAGTAGAATTTAATAACCCAGTCATTTCATAAACATCAGATATGAACTTTCTTTTATAATCTTTTAAAGGCCCTACTACCATTCTAATGTTTTGTTTACCCTTAATGTGTTTAAAGAAGTCCTTACTGTTAGTTGTTGTGTTTTCAGTCAACTTTTTTTCATATATCCTTTTTGATATCCTAATTTCCTGTTAGATCAACTCTCTTGATTTTCTATAATCCTCCTGTCGATTTAAACTTCTTAAATTTATGATGCATTTCTTTAATTTGACTCCTTATACCTTTTGTCAGCCAACCTATTTTTTTTACTTGCAGCCACCTTTTTTTTTATTGTAAGGAACATTTCTATCTTGAAAATTTTTAAAAATTTACCACATTTGATCAGTGTCTCCAAATAATTCAGCTGCCCAATTCACAAGACATAATTCTTGTTGCATCCCTTCAAAATTTCCCTTCTTTGAAATTTGTAACCAAATTATTATTATTCTTTATCTTCATATGCAGCAAAATACCAAACCTAACAGAGCCATGATCACTTGCACCCACATGTTCCCCAGTTTACACCCTATCAGCCATTTCTATATTAGAAGTTAACAATAAATGTAAAATAACATTGTTTGCAGTTGGTAAAGAAAATCGTCTTAAACGGTTTATAAAAATCCAGCTCCCTTATGGTCTAACATTTCCTGAAGTTAAAATCCCTCATAATTATGACCTCATTGACAGCTGAATTATTTTATCTTATAGTAGAGTTTCTCATTAATTTGATCAGTTACCCTTCTGCTAAATTAAAAAACCTGAAAAAAAAAAGTCAGTCAGCTTTGAATGATTTGTCTTTGTTGTTTTGAAATTTCATTTAAATTATTTTAGGAAATTAGTTCACGTATGATTGTCACTAATTAAATTATGTGACCTGCAGCTGTTTCAAAGGCTATGCATTCATGTGATCAACCAGTTGAAACCCCTTCACTCTCCCTATTTCCACCAGTATGGAGACAGGTAACTAGTGTTATATTACATTAAAATTACTGAAAGAAAAAGGTTTTGTTGAGAACAATGTACCTTAAATTTTCTGCCAAAAAGGATTTTATGAAATCGTCTTTAATTATGGCTGGGCTAGAATGAAAGAATAATTTTAGAGACAGTATTTGTTTTGCATTCAAGTTAACTTGCATATGAATAATTTGTGGCCATCAGAATGCTCGAAAGACTCTTTGAAATTAGTAAATTATCAAAGTTACTGAGCTTTGCTAAGATTAGTTCAGCAAAGGATGTAAACTGATAGCAAAGATATTGATTTTTCTAGGGGATAAACTCATGATTTGTGTATGATGTATGTACTGAAATGATTTAACTACTGAAACATTGTTTAGGAAAAAAGTTTAAGCAAAAATGGATATAGATGGGATTGAATCATCAACGTCTCGTATGAAGTATGTGCCATATGAGCCAAATCCCAATGATTTTTTTCACATATGCAGCATAATTAAGAGTAATGCTATATATAT